GACTTACTCACAGTGGGAAGGGGAAGCACAACTTTTACTCATTAAGAGTACTGTTATTTCAATAATAAAATTACTCAAATAGGAGTAAAAGTATGCTGCTAGAATAATACTCTTAAAAATACAATTTCTTGAAAAAGTTAATCAAGTAAACGTAACTGACAACTACCCACGTCTGATTATAAGTTTATTCACAGTAAAGGTGGATATAATCAGTGGTGGAAGAAGTACTATACTAAATGGTGTTACTTAGGTAAAAGTACAGATACCAGAACAAAAAATACGCAAGTAAAAGTATCACAATGCAAAATCAACTTAAGCAAAAGTATTAAAGTACCAGTAAAAGTATTAAAGTACCCATAAAAGTATTAAAGTACCTGTGAAAGTAAGACACTGCACCCACATTGCCTAGTATGGAAGTGATGTGTGCATGAGTGCTGGTGGTGGTCAAAGAGGCCGACTGGCAGCCTCGCTTCTGTCAGTCTGCCCCTGGGCAGCTGTTGCTACAATAGTAGCTTACCACCATCAATTGTGAAGTGAATGAATAATAAACTGTAAAGTGCTTTGGATATCTTGAAAGGCACTCTATAAATGCAATGATTAATTAAAAAGAAAAAAACAACTTGCAAGATTGTATTTAAAGTAAAGTAAAAGTGCTTCACATAGATTTTGAGATCTTATAAAGCTTCAAATGTAGTGACTTTGATACAGATTGGTGCTGAATTTTGTTCAACAGAAACAACTGAATTAACTGTTTTTGTTTATTTTTGTTTGCTCACAGTATGAACTTGATAAGAGATAACTTTTCAGTAGTTACAATAAGAAAAACACTTTTACTTTTCAGTTCAGATCAGAAATATAGTGGAGTAGAAAGTACAGACGTAATGTAGCGAACTAAAAGTAAAATTAATCACTTTTACATTGTACTCAAGTAAAGTACAGATACCTCAAATTTACTGAGATAATGTTGTTTATATTAAGATGCCAGACTCGTTTATGTAATCTGATCAATTCACAGTAAGAGTTTCAAATACAAGAAAGGAAAGGAAAGAATTTGAATGTGGGTGTGAGCGATTCCATCAAACTTTAAAAACACCAGAGCAGGACTAGACCATAAAAGGTCTGTGGAGTTTGTGTTCAGGTGAGTTTAAGTGTACATTGATCTAAATTAAATAATTTATACTTCATTTCAACCTGCTAAATAATTCATGCATTTATTCCGCAGATATGAAGTGGACAGCAGTGAGAGTTTGGCTATTTCCAGGTGAGTTACAGGACATCATTATTTATATGTAGAAAGGACTACGATGTGGGATACTTTTATAGCAGTGCACTGTTTCAGTTCTGACACTATAGCCTTAAAGTGTATATAATGTTCTGATGATTCTCTCTCTTTTTTTTTCTTTTTTTTTTTTTTTTGTAAATATAATACAGGCAGTAGAGAGTTCTATTATAGAAAGTTCCATATTGGGGAAATCACACTGGGAGAATTTTATCCAAAAGTTCGGGCACAATTTACACAAGAAACATATTTTTCTGATTACCTTTACATATGTCACATCTGCTGTTGTACTGCACCCAAAAAGTATAACTATAAACTTCATCAAAATTACAAAACTAGAAAAATAAATTAATTTTTTGTATTTTTTATTTTTTATTTTCGCACTTTAAATGATGGGCAGTTTAAAATGTCCTTTGTCCCTTTATTCAGGTTTCCTAAGCCTGGTCTTGGCCTATCCTCAGAAGGTGCTCCATTTTGTCCCACATAAACTGGACTGGCGCAGCGCTCGGAGTCACTGCTCAGAGCACTTTGTGGATCTAGCTTCTGTCGCGGATGTGAAGGACCTGAAGGAGATGAGTGGTTTGGCCAACACTGCGGATCAATACTTCTTTGTGGGGTTAAAGGTATGGTGTACTTCAGGGTTTCCGATGATATCATTACATCCTATTGATACACTGTGGTGGCATCATGCTGGGGGCGTTTTGCATGTATCTCTATTGGCAGAATGTTTAGAAGTTACCATGCAGTTACCGTGACACAAACACAGACAAAAATGTTTTAAGACAGTCTGAAAATGTACAAAATGGATTTAAACTACACATTTTGCGAAGCCTATGATCAAAACGAGCATTCATGGTCCTTTTAGGAGTTTGATTTTCAACTAAATGTGAGAATGACTAACTGAAAAACTGTTGTCTAATACTAGTGAGATTCTGAATTAAATTTTTTGTGTGAGAGACTTTAACAGCAGAAATCATCTCACCTGTTATAATTCCAACCAAGTCAATTCTGCCATCTGCTTGTCTCTGAAACATGGTATAAAATAAAAACAATGTGTGTTTTCAGAGAGAGTGGCAGTGGACAGCTGTGGACTCAGAGGACCGCAGACAGATCCAGGTGGGGTTTGAGGCGTTTGAAGTTGGAGAACCCAGAGAGGAGCATGAGTGTGGGCTGATCCAGGCTTCAGGAGAGTGGAGAACCGAAAACTGCAGCACCACATGGCCCTTCTTCTGCCTCGACGGTGAGAGACACAGCTGTGGTGTTTAGAACTTACCAAGCTATAACAGTTACCCATTGTCCTCACATGTAAATAGTTCCTATGGCTTAATGTAAAATGTCTGAAGAAAGGTCATTATGTTAAAGTAGAAAATGAGTTGGGATTAAATAATTTTTTTTTTACTCCCACTCATTTTTGGGCACATTTTTTGTTGTTGTTTTTTTGTTTTGTTTTGTTTTGTTTTGTTTCTGTTGGTACAGTTAAACTAATGTCAATATGGGTGATACTATGTTCCATTATAAAAGAACATAAAATGTTTACTTGCATTACTTTTAACAGTTTTGCTTTGATTAGCTCTTTGATTGCTATGATACTTGTGGTCAGGATTCCAGAATTTGACTCCAGATTAGCCCTTATAACTGGCAGTCTCAATGAGCTTCATTTGACTTGAGCCAAACGCTATGGTTGATGTCACACTCACTTAGTCCACTTCTTTTCACAGTCTATGGTTCTAACAGAATCCTTCACTGAGTTCTTGTCTCTTGTGTTTGTCCTTTGTGCAGTGAACGCCCCTGACAGATTCGTGAAGGGAAACGGCTCTAAAACCTGGAGCGAGGCCAAAGAGTACTGCAGGACCCACCACACGGACTTGGCCAGGATCTGGAAACAGGAGGAGAACCACCTCCTTGTGGACCTCCTCAGAGGGACCAGGAACAGGACCTGGAACGGGACTGAGACCTGGAACGGGACCTGGAACGGGACCTGGAACGGGACCAGGAATGAGACCTGGAATGGGACTAGAGACGGGACTTGGAATGGGACCTGGAACGGGACCTGGAACGGGACCTGGAACGGAACCAGGAATGAGACCTGGAATGGGACTAGAGACGGGACCTGGAATGGTACCTGGAATGGGACCTGGAATGGGACGTGGAACGGGACCTGGAATAGGACCTGGAATAGGACCGGGGACAACACTTGGGATGGCACTTGGGACAGGACAAGAGATGGAACCTGGGACTGGACCAGGGATGGCACCTGGAATGGGACCTGGGATGGGACCAGGGACTGGACCAGGGATGGCACCTGGAATGGGACCTGGGATGGGACCAGGGACGGGACCAGGGATGGGACCTGGAATGGGTCTTGGGATGGGACCAGGGATGGGACCAGAAACGGGACTTGGGATGGGACCTGGAATGGTACCAGTGCCTGGATTGGCCTGACCAAACAGATCTGGACCTGGTCTGATGGATCATACACAGGGTTTGTCCCGTGGGTCCCACAGAAGCCTGAAGCTGGAGGAGAAGAAGCCTGCGCTGCCTTCAACATCAGCGGGGAGCCAATGGGGATAGTGCCCTGGGATTGCAGTGATCAGCTGCCATTTTTTTGCTACTCCTGTGAGCATGTTTCATATTATATACACATTTATTTAAAGGTCCTATATTATTTAAAATTTACTCTTGTGAGCTTTAAGTCATGTTATAATAATCCACTGCCTAAATATACAGGCTTTGTGTTAAACATATGTGCTTAAGACAAAACAAAATACCATTGTCTTTTGTTTATTACATAATGTAGTTTTTTAAACAAATTTTACTTTCTTCAGTTCCATTAAAGAAGTACAGTGTGAAGATCACCATGTCTGCTACACAGAGCGCTGTGCCCTGTTTGACTAAAATGGTGAGATTTTTATCATATAGAAAACATCCAAATGCTTCTGAAGATTTCTTTCCCATAATATCACCTATAGACCCCGACCCCACTCCTGAATGACACTACCTCCTCCTCTAGTTTTTATTTTGTTTGTTTTGTTGCAGGTTCAGGACAGATTGAAGGACCTGGGCATGACCAAAGATGTACGCATGACATGGAAAAAACGTCCACAAAAAGTCTCCACTCTGAAACCAGACAAGCCGCTGTGTGACACTACTCCGAATCTGACCTAGAGGGCAGCAGAGAGCCACAGGCAAACAAATAATTCACTATTTTATCAGATTCTTATCTAAATGGGCAATGAAGGAAGGAAGGAAGGAAAAATAGATAGCTACAGTAAATAAAACATAAATTAGAATATCCAGAATTTAAGATCCAAATCTGCTTGTGTGTCACAGGTTTACATTTATTTAGTTATTAAAGTTATTTATTTAAGCGATTAAAACAAAATACTGTAGTAGTTGTTAATGTTTTGCAAGTTTTTACTGTCCCAGCCCATGTTTAATAAAAAGTAAAAACAATGGTAAGCATAGATTTGTTGTGCTGCTGTTGTTGTTGTTGTTGTTGTTGTTGTTGTTTGATTGTTTGTTTGTTTGTTTGTTTTTTTACATTTCATTACACTCGATGCTCACAACATTTACACACTATAAACAACTTATATATTCAATGATTCAGAGACATCAGGTTTATTATATTATACAATAATAATAATCATCATCTTCATTGATGGTGGGAAAGGGAGAAATTCACTTCTGCTTGACGTGCCCTTGTGACGCACTGACGCACAGACAGACTTGTGCGTAAAGAAGGAGGGCGCGGCCTCTCTCCAAGATGGCGACGACCATAGACAACAGCAATGCCGCTCAGGCCACCAAGAAGAAGCACCTGGGCATCCCGGAGGCCGTCTTTGTGGTGGGTACAAGGCGGGCATCCACAGCGGCTCCTCTCCCGCAGCGGACCCGGACTGTGGTGACCTCCTCCGTGCTATATTTTCTGCAGGAAGGCGGTGGTTAGCCCGGAGAAGCTAACGAAGCTAACAGTGTTTTAATGCTGCGCCCGTTCACGTCCATGTATGGAAGAAACGCGCTCTGATAAACACGAGGGTTATTTACTCTTACGAAGGGATGTCACGATATCTCATGTGATCATTACTGCATGAACAAACATCCTAATTTAACGTTTATTCATGATTATTGAGTCCAAGACCAAACTACATTCACTTTGATTCACATGAACCTGTCTTTGAACGGCTTCATCAAATCACATTTTATGGAGGAGAAGTTAATGTGACTATCAGATTTTAGATTAGATTGAAAAAAAAAAAATCTAATATTGCCAGTGATTATGGTCTTATTGCTGGTAATGTTTGGAAAAGTGTTGTCACGATTCTAAAATGTCAAACTTGATTTCCATTCTAAGGAATAGACCCAATACTTAATACCAATTTGGATACCACAATGATAATTAAAAAAAAAAAAAAAAAAAGTAGGGGTAGGGTAGTAGGGGGTAGAGTAGGGGTGTGCAAAAATATCAAAATATTGATATATTGTATCATTTAATGTGATGATACAGTATCGATATAGTGGGTTGCTGTATCGATATATTACCAAGATTATTTTTTGGTATATTTTACTAAATGATTTTGTTACAGTGCTACAGTTTCATTGCTTGTTTAGAGGAAGGAAACTCATTTATGAAACACATTTGGCATGTTCATTGTTTTGATGATTATAATGTGTTTCATATTAATTTTGCACAAAAAGTGGTTTAACAAAGACTTACAAATACCAATTCCGATACCACAGTGATAATTTTAAAAACACAGTTTAGTTAAATAACAGAATGTGATTTTCAACATTAAATCGCAGTAATTTATATTACATTCCCATGTGGTCTATATCTGTGTAAACTCTCAGAGGTCCAGGTAGGTTCCATAGTGGTCCATGGGTGTATACTAGTCTATGTGCTCTTATACTTGTTCTGATACAGCTCAAGATCATTGTAAAGACATTCAGGAATGGTTCTGTGAATAACTTTTTGGTATTGATATCTGCTCAAGTGAGTATCTAGTTTCGATTCTAGTTGTAGTGTCGATTTAATATCTGATTTTCATTGTAACCCTAACTGGTGCCAGTTTTTGGAATAAAATGCAAGTAGTATTAGACCATGAGGGTTTTAAATATTTTTCTTTGCTAGTAAGTAGATTCTATTATTGAAGAACATTTCTTTTAAGGTATTATCAAGTCATTTTCCAACAGAGCTGTTAAAGGTGCACTAAGTAACTTTTCTAGTGCAGTATCCCAACCTGTTTCACCCCATATAAATATTAGTTTTGCCTGTAATACACAAATATTGTACACATACACAAACATTACACTTTGTCACATGTATTGACTCCTGTTTGTCCCTGTGTGTTTTTAGGAGGATGTGGACACGTACATGAAGCAGCCGGGCAATGAGACGGCCGACTCCGCCCTGAGGAAACTGGACGAACAGTACCAGAAATACAAATATATGGAGCTCAACCTGTCCCAGAAGAAACTCAGGTCAGACACACAGAGGGTTTAAAGTGCATATGGCAGTTTTTTGTGTTTTATTTTTTTATTATTTGAATTGGTGGGATAGCACGTGTGGTAAATAGTTATCATCATTTTACATCAGTTAAGAGAGTACAAAAGTACAGGAAGTAGTGGTGACTTCTTACATACAAGGAAAGGCATGTTTCTGACAGTTTAACCCTTCATTTAACAAAATAAAGGTGTCATTTATTTTAATTTGTCTAATCATAACTGTGGTGTAATTTAGACAGGTTTTGTTTATAGTATTGTTGCTAGGTAACAGTTCTGGAAATACATTTTTTGTAAATTCTTAAATGTAACATTAACTATGTAGAACAATTCTGTCTTTTTTTATCTTCTTTTTTATTACATTTTATTGCACAATTTCAGAACATGTTAAAAAGCTGAAATTTGGTTTTAGTCATGTCTAATGCCATTTCTATGCCTGTTTCTCTTTTCTTTTTTGCAGGTTGAAAAATCAAATTCCTCAAATCACACAGACACTAGAAATCCTCTGGCACATGCAGAAGAAAAAGGTTTGCAACAAGATTTTTACAGTTATGTTTTTGTAAAGATTTAAAATTGACCGTAATCTCCACTGTAGTTTGTCAGCTTGCCAATCTAATTTGCTGTTATTACTATCATAAATGCAAAATAAAGGCATTATTGTTAGGCTAAAAACAAATTAACAAATGAATGAATATGTTTATTTTTGTCGATTTGTATAATTACCGCAATATCCTTTGTTGTGCAGGAGACCACAGACCTGATGGAAACTCACTTTCTTTTGGCTGATAATGTTTACTGCAAGGCCTCCGTCCCTCCCACTGATAAAGTCTGCTTATGGTTAGGAGTAAGTTTCTTATTTTTATATCGTGTACCCTGACTGTGGCTCACACCAGATCTAAACCAGGTCTGTAACAGGATTGTTCTATTGGTTGGATTGGTCTGTTCTAGTGCTAAACCAGGTTTAAAAGTGGACTACATCATTTCCACTGTAGAAGTAAACAAGAAATTATCAAAAAGAGGACAAAAAGTGGGTTAAAAGACCTCTAAAATGGGTAAACCCACAAATCTGGTGAGATTTTTGCATTGGAATGCTCCACAGTATGGCTTTAAACTGATCTATCTTGCATGCATTCAGTGTCAGGTAGTTTTATTATTAAAAAGCCCTGACAAACATGCATTCTTACTGTGAGTGGGCTCGCCTCTCCAGACCAGTAACTTGGCCTAACGTTGTCACTTTTCTTGATGGGGAAAAATAAGTTTAATGCCATACTGTGCAACTTTCTGGTTAAAGCAATAACATCTCCATGGAGACAAGCAGACTCTCCACCAGGAAAATTAGTGCACCTTTAAAGTGCCTATGACAGATTAGATTTCTCATTTTACTAAAACCCATTTTTTTTCCCCACTTTGATTAATTTTTTTTGGTTTACAATTACAACACTAAGGAATTCTGTAACTGTTACCTAGCAACCATATTGTGCAACTCCCCCAATGTACACAGAAATTACTATTTGACAAATAAAACTATAAGAACATTTTGTTTTGTTAAGTATCAGAGAAAGGGTTTGGTTTGTTTTGTTTGCTTTTTATTAGCTTTTCTTTGCAAATTGCTTGTTGGTCAGTGTTAAACTATCTCAAAATCTCCAAATTAAGTCAAAGGTCATTTTAAAAATTTATAAACTTTGTAATTTTTTAGCCATATTAAAAATGCATTTCCTGTCCAGGCGAACGTGATGCTGGAGTACGACATAGATGAGGCTCAGGCTCTTCTCGAGAAAAATCTGTCGACCGCCTCCCGAAACCTCGAAACTCTGGAGGAGGACCTGGACTTCCTGCGCGACCAGTTCACCACCACCGAAGTCAGTATCCTTCCACCGCTGCTCAGAGAGAAAGTAGACCCTTTCTCAGCTTGAGCAGGTACCAGTGATTCTGTGTTGATTATAAAGGGGGGGAAATGAATCAAAATATAGATCAGATTTAAGGATTCAGGTCATTAGATGCACGATATTGAAACTTCATTCAGAAAGTTCTTTTCACAGAAATGTTTTCTCATTACAGACAGACCTGGAGTTGTGTTTTGTTTCATTCACACATGTTTAACTCAGAAGCCCTGAATATTTAGGCTGTTCTTCTCTCAAACTCTCTGTTCCACCTTGTGATGTCATGTGGTAATAACGGAAGTGCTCCACTGTGTTTTTAAACTGCATACACCTTCAGTAGAATCATTTGGATAATTTGAGCCCTGGAATTACCAATTTCTACTGAACAAAAGATAAAAGGTTGCTGTTGAAATCTACCACTACATGGCATCACAAGGTGAAAAAGAGAATTTTGAGCTTTGGAGATGTAGACAGTCAAAACACAACAAACAAGAGTCAGTTTTGTGTAATACAGGACCTTTAACTCTTTTTGTAGTGTTTTATTTTGAACAGTAAATTGCTCATTTAAAGTCCAAATCCAGTGTTTTTCCTTGACCCCGCCCCCTCAGACATGGCACGAGTTTACAACTGGGACGTGAAGAGACGAAGCAAAGAAAACCTCCTGAAATCAGCGGAAAAGTCTTAACTCCAGAAACTCCAATGACACAAAAGATTTCTGTCAAATCCCGTCTTCATAACAGCCCCAAATCGCATGTTACGTCCTGAGCTAATGCACAGACAGTGAATCATCATCTAAAGAGTTAAAACTGCACTATGTAACATTCCTGGTGGACGGATTGCCTGTTGCTTGTTTCCATGGAGATGTTATTGTTTCCTGGAATGCACCACAGAATGGCATTAGACTTTTCTATCTTGCATTTATTCAATTACAGGTGCTTTCATTGCAAAAACGTGCAATACCATTTGGCATCACTCCTTCATGGACTTTGATCAATTTAATGCCATACTATGGAACATTCTAGGCAAGGCAGTAACCTAGCAACCAGCAGCATCAGAAAAGTTACATAGTGTGTTTGGTTTGTCTGGTTTAGCAAATTAAATGCTACTGATTGAGATTAGAATTCACTGTCTTTAAAATTTTAGCTCAACTCTACAATCTCATTGCAATCGTTTTTGTTATTTACTTTTTAAAATATTTTTTCAAGTAAAAGAAAATGCTACGAAAAGATTTTTGTATCGTTTTAATACTTTCAATAATTAATAGTTTTCCTTCTGTCTGCATATTTTCAGCATTCTTCTTTCTATCTGGTTAAAAACTAACATCAAATTAATCTAGTTTGTTTGGTTTTAGTTTCTTCATAATATTTGAAATCTCAGTTTCTCTGTTGTCATGTCGGCGATCTTGGATCCCTGTGCCCCTCCTCTCAGTCTCTTTCTCTTTCTGTCTGTTCTCTTCGCCGCTGTTCAAACTGTATTTATTTGTCTCATTAAATGAAGAATGAAGTAAAAGAACGTTTGGGCAAAGCGATCAAAACCTCCTCATGTTTTATTCATTGTTGCATTGTGTCCTTCAGTTAGACCTGGTTTAGTCCTGGTTTGGTCCATCTTAAAGGTTCTTTGTGTATCCTGCACTATTAGTTTTATATAGGTTTTACAATCCCTGTTGCCAGAGCCTTAACCTGCAGATAGAGGACACATCTATGTTTTGTTTCCTTGTCAGTATATGAACAGACCAGACTTCATGTGAAAGCTCAGAACCTCCAGAATTCCCTCTCTGATCTGCAGAGGCTGAGTTATGGTTGGCTGCAGGTGCTGGGGTTTAGGGTGTGACTGTTCAGATCAGAGAGAGATATTTTAGGTTTCAGCACACTAGATTTTAGCATCTTGACAACCAAAACGCAAAATTATAATAGAAATGATGTCCAATGTTTTTGTGATTAAGAATAAATCTGCTTCTTCCCCATAGACTGCTAATTATTATACAGCCTATGGTCTTTGGTGATGGACGACAGCGCCATCTGTTGTCTGACTTCTTTAGGTCCCCCCCACGACCAAGCGAACAAATGAAAACTAGACTTTGGTTTAAATCTGTGTTAGTTCTGGTTTAGTCCTTGTTTACACATGGTTTAGTCTTGATTTAGCCTCAGTTTAATCCTGGTTTAGTCCTGGTTTAGACCTGGTTTAGGCCTGATTTAGTCTTGGTTTAGTCCTGGTTCAGTCCCAGTTTAGCCCCAGTTCAGTCACAGTGCAGTCCTGGTTCAGTTCTTGTTTAGTCTGATTTTATTCTTGGTTTAGTCCTGATTCAGTCCTGGTTGATCCCCATTTCAGTCCTGGTTCAATCCTGGTCTAGTCCTGGTCTAGTCCTGGTCTAGTCCTGATTTATCCCCATTTCAGTCCTGGTTTAGTCCTGTTTCAGTCCCAGTTAAGTCTTGGTTCAGTCCTGGTTTAGTGCAGCTCTTTCTTGTATCTAAATAGTGTACTCAGCTGAACGATGACCCAGAACTGTCCAGTCGAATTTATCTTGCTTAAAAGCCTAACCAACTTGTGCTGTGTTTTCTGATCTTGTATTTTAGATGGAAAAAAATTGAAAATTTCCATAAAAAATTCTATAACTGCTATAAAATCATTGAATATATTCGTTGATAACATATCTACTTTAGTTATGACTGCAGTGATGCTTAAACACTGGCAAAAATCTAATAAAAATCTGAAATCAGTTAAAAAAAAAAAAAATGTACTAGGTGCACTATGTAACTTTTTGGTTTGGGCCTGTCACCTGCTTGTTTCTATGGATATGTCATTGCTCTGCCTGGAATGTTCCACAGTATGACATTAAACAGCTCTACCTTACATTTATTCAATTACAGGTGGTTTATAGCTCAAAAATAGCTAGAAAAACAGGCATTCTGACTGTGAGCAGGGCTGCCTCTCCGCAGATCTGACCTGTGACTGGTTTGGTCTCCATGAAGATAGAGAAGTTTAATACCATACTGTGAAACATTTCAGACAAAGCAATAACATCTCCATGGTGACAAGTAGACAAGTAGTAGCACCAGAAAAGATATACAATGTACCTTTAACTTTAAGCTTTTTGCATTCATATATAATAAAAAAAAAAAAAAAGTGATTTTGTCTGGTATCATGTTTAAGTTTAATTTAATGATAACTTCAACTGAAAAACACCAGCTGGGTCTCTTGCAATTTTACATATTTCTTTATATTCAAACCAAAGTACAATTACACGTTCAAATGAATCAAAAGGCACAGACACAGCGAAATGCCACAATAGTAAAGGTTACGGACTAAACCTGGAACTAAACCTGGACTAGACTAGACCAGGACTAGAGCAGGACCAAGTTAAGATTGTATAGTTGTAGTCCTTTAGTCCTTTAGTTGATTAATTGGTTGGAGTCTTAGTTGATCAAAATTTGTATTGGCTTAGTCCTGGTTTAATCCTGGTTTAGTCCTGGTTCAGGCCTGGCTCAGTCCTGGTTTAATCCTGGTTTGTATTGGTTGAATAGTTTTATTTAGATTATAAGGATTTATATGGGACAACAGCATAGCAGAGAAGTGAGTAAATTAGCTGAAGATTTTGGTATTTCTGGTATTTATTTCTTGTATTTATTTTTGGTATTTAAATGCATCTTAAACTCCTAATTCGCACGTTTAATCTGTTTTTCTATAAATACAATGTTTCTTAGTACTTTTTTCTGTATAAATAGTAGTTTTTTGCATGAGCTCCCCCTGCAGGTGTAGTCTTGTCAGTACAGTTTGGGTCAGCTACACAGAGATACAGAATAGTTTTACATATATTTAGTAGATTTTAGTCCTTCACATTCTATATATCATAACTTGAACTGTCAAAAATACTGGGTCTTCTGCGTGTTTGAATTACGTTTCATTTTGTATTCATTTGACATCCCTTTACGGAATTAATCTCGAATTTATTTAATGTCTTTACTATTGTGGCATTGAACTTTAGAGCTTAAAGGTGCACTATGTAACTTTTCTGATGGAGTGTTGTTTCCATGGGGATGTTATTGCTTTGCCTGAAATATTTCACAGTATGGCATTAAATAAACGTTACAGGTCAGATCTGTGGAAAGGTGGCCCTGCTCACAGTAAGAGTACATGTTTATCAAGGTAATTTAAGTCATACGAAGATATGTAATTGAATAAATCTGAGATGGATCAATTTAATGCCATACTGTGGAGCATTCTATGCAACGACAACAGTTCCGTGGAGACAAGCGGATAACGGACCCTCCAGAAAAGCTACATAGTGCACTTTTAACTGAAATTATACTCACAGTATTAGTGGACAAAAACTTAAAGACATATTTAAAGTGCATATGACAGGTTTTTGTGTTTTCTAATCCTGATTTGGTTTGGTGAGTAGTAGCTGTGGTGAATATTTATCATAGTTTTACATCAGTTAAGTGGCAGTTTGTGGAAAAAAGGCTGAGACGAGAAGTACAAAAATACAGGAAGTAGCGCAGAGTTCTAAAACAGACTCCCTCTATCTATGTTATCAACACCGAAACTCCATCCAAACTGCAGAGACAATTTACGCACCATATCCATTTAACAGTTTTATTTTTTATTTAAACATAACTATTGTGCAATTTAGGCAAGTTCTGGCCCCGGTTATCATTATGGTTGCTAGGTAACAGTCATTATGGAATTAAAATGATCAATTTCACCAAAAGACAAAAAAAAAACCAAGAGCTTTAAGTCATGTTATAACGTTATTACCTCATCAAAAACATCTGGAGTTGCATTTTGTTTCATTCACACATGTTTTAGTAATCCTTTATTATTAGTCTGTCTACATCTCCAAAGCTCAAAATGCTCAGGTCCACCTTGTGATGTCATGTAGTGGTAATTTTAGCTACCTTTAACAGCTACCTTTTACCTTTTGTTTGGTACAGATTGGCAATTCCGGGTTCCAGGGTTTGTGTGTTAAACATGTGAATGAAACAAAACACAACTCCAGGTCCATGTTTGCGATGAGGAAACTACATTATAACTTAGATCAGAAAAGGGTGTAACATAGACCCTTTAATAATTCTTAAATATATTGATGTTAACTCTGTTTTACTGAAGGGAGTAGTCTAACCTGTCATAAGCACTTTAATATACAACAAAAAGTACTTGTAGCGTTCCCCCTGTATTTATTATTGAGTGATCTCTTCTTGCATAATTCCAGCGTGGTCCCGCCCAGCCTCTGAGCGCCGTGCATTATGGGTAACGTAGTTTTGGGCAGTCCCTCTTTGTTCCCTTATGTCATCCCGAGGTCGAACTAAGGTGCTTCTGGCTTCGAACCATCAACCCTTTCACTTACCCACCTTAACAATCCATTTTAGTTCATAATAGAAGGTGGACAGTGAGTTTTTGGTCCATTCTTGAACAAGTCTCCATCCTTGGCCATTTTAGCTGTACACTTGTTCTGCTTATTGTGGAATAGATGAGATAACATTGGATACAAGTCTTTTTCTTTGGAGGGAAATTCCAAGTTTTTTCAAAGTTTTCCGGCTCTGAATTTTTGTGGAATTCTGCACAAAATGAAATAATAATTGCCCTTTTAGGAACTTCAATTGTAGATGTGCAAAAACAACTATAGTGTTATGAAATTGCATATTGTAGACAGTTTACTGGAGTGGGAATTGTGTCGTTGGAATCAAAAAAAGTCGAAGTTTAAACAAATTTTTGAAAGCAAATTTTAAATTCCAAAATGTCCGCCTTCTTTGTCAACAATTCTTCCTTTGATTCATATATGACTGATGAGCAAAACTTCCAAGTTATTTTCATTTTAGTCCCGTACAATTTGGGGAGAATTAAAAATATTCCAAACTGGCCGCCTTCTTTGTCAATAATCCTAACTTCAAATCTATAATTATGAGGAACAAATTTTAAACTAAAAAGTCTCAAATGTGAAATTCTTGAAATTTATTTAAAAAATGGTTAAGTAAATCCAAATGAAATTAATGACAAAAACAAACAAAAAACTTCTCTGTCACTGATTCTTGCTTCAATTAAAAATTCTAAATCCTTAAATCTAAGAAAAAAATTTTATACATTTTGACAGAATTTAAAAATGAATCCCAAAATGGCCACCTTCTTGGTCGGTTAATTCTTGCTTCGATTCCTTATTTGATTAAGATGACAACAACTTTGAGGTCTTTATAGTACCAATCTCAGAATCATAAGAAAATGTGATAATTTTATCACAATTTAAAACCCGTGGGCTCTCTGACTTTTTGTTTATTCCTTTATTTAAGCTATAACCCACTTATTCTCAGTTAAACCAAATAGTTCTAGGAAGAGTCTGGAGGAATTTTCTCCAAATCCACAAATAAAAAATAACCCTAAAACTCATTTTAATATGACTTTTATAGGAATTTCACCTGAATTTTTTACCTAATTACAAGTCCCGACATCATTTTTATTCAGATTTGCTTCAGTTTTCACATGGGAATTATCAAGACCCAAGAAACGCTCAGTCTACTGTCTAACGGACCATCCCTACAGACACCAGCACTCTCTATCCTTATATTTACCAAAATAATCTAAGATGAATTTGAAATGTGATGTTCCTCAGTGCAGCTTTTTCCCACTTGTAATGAGATTAGATCAGAAAGAGGCAAAGACAACAGAGAAGAGCCCCGTCATTTCTCTGTGCGCCGAAGAATTCTGATACAGCTTCAGTTTGGGGAAAAATGTAGTCAGGCGATTTAAAGTTGCATTGTGTAACTTTTCAGAAGGAGGGTCCATCAAATGCTTTTCGCTATGAAGATGTTATTGCTTTGTCTGGAATGTTTCACAGTGTCGCATTAAAACTTAACTTAACACAAACTAGACCAAGTTACAGGTCAGCTCTGTGGAGAGGGGACTCTGCTCAGTCAGAATGTCTCTTTTTCAAGTTATAAATCCACCTGTAATTGAATAAATGTAAGCTAGATCTGTTTAATGTCATACTGTGGAATATTCCAGGTAGAGTAATGACATATCCATAGAAACAAGACCCCCAACCAAAAAGTTACACAGTGCACCTTTAAGGGGACTTGACAGGGGATCTGTTGTCCTGGGCCCCAGGGTCTTAGGGGCCCAGAATTGAACCCTCTTCCTATTAATTTATATTAGAGGGGAGGCCCATTTGAGACTTCTTGCCCCGGGGCCCTCAAATTTCAGTCGACGGGCCTGGTTAAAATGTCCCAAAATGTTCGCCGCCTTTGATTCAATATATGATTACGATGAGCACGATTTCCAAGACATTTTATTTCAAATCCATTAAAAACCCCTTAGAAAAGTGTTCCAGATGCAGGCTGGTGTATACAGTCTTTCAGCCTCATCCTTCCGAATCTTAAACTTTTGTAGCGGCGGTTTTAGCAGAGGCAACGGCGGTCACTCTTGGTCACCTCCTCGGATGAGTGGACGACGTTGGGCACAAAACCGCTCTTCACCCCCTCCCACCCCTCCTGGATGGTGATGTCGCCGGATCGGACCAAAGCAAAGATTTCGCGGGTGAGTTCAGTGAAGGCGTGCTCCACGTTTATGGCGTCTCGGGCCGAGGTTTCCACGTAGCGCATTCCGTACGCTCCGGCCAGCTTCTCCGCCTCCTGACGACTCACCTGCACAGGGACAAGAGGGAAGGGTTTTATAGTTTTACAGTTTATGTAGGGTTCAAAGGTGCACTATCATGTGTATATAAAGTGTATATGTACATAAATGAATAAATAAATGAATACATTTCCTCCCTGAGCTGAAGAGGCTGTTTTGGTAGTGACCATTCAGATCAGAGAGAGACATTTTAGGTTTAAACACACTGGATTTCACCACTGAAACTGGCAACTCAAATGAGAGTCATGTGAGGCTCATTCTGCTTTCTGACTGGAAACCATCTTAAAACAAAACACCAAATCATTACATAAATAAATGTGACATCATGTTCAGTGTTTTTGTAATTAAAATTAAATTAGCATTAAAGTAGCTATAAAAGCTATATTTGATTTGAACATGGTCACCTTGAGTCTGGGAACACAGTTATAAAATTTGAAACTGAAATCTTTGTATACAGTTCCTCTGACCTAATTTAAAGGAGAAAAGCAGCCAAATTACAGGTCAGATCTGTGGGGAGATGAGCAAGTGCCTTAAATATGCTGCATCTGACCCTCTCTGTCATTTCTAAGTGATTCTAACTGCAGTGGTTTTGCTTTGTCACGGTGGTGTGTCTGTGATGTTGTTTTCGCTGTCTCCTCTCGTCTCCTGGGACTTTGACAGAGGCAGAAACTGTGCTGACGTAACATTTATTTTACAACACTTTTCAACAAGACAAACCTCTCAATATGTGGAACCTCATCATTTACTGTTGTGCATCCAACCAGTAAGTTTATTTTCTTTATTCTTTATTACTTTAACATTACACTGAGATATATTAGTAGATAAAGATCTCTGCATTTGACCCATCCTTTTGACTCCATGTCTGAGCTTGTTTTGGTCAGGACTAATTTAGCTGGAGGATTAGACTACTGTGCAGGTTAAGGTTGAGTCTTAGAGCAGACAGGGGAGTGGGAATTGAACCTGGGACCTTCTTGCTGTGAGGCTGAAGATAATTTGCAATGACAACCAATGTTGGGGGTGTTATACATGTATGTGTAGAAAGCTTAAAAAAAATACAAAATGGATTTATTTTAAGCAGTACATTTTCAGGAGCCTGTGATCTATACGAGTGTTCATTGTCCTGTTTAGGAGTTTGATTTTCAACAAAAAGGTGAGAGTGACTAAAAAATGTGAAAAAATGCTGGATAATGCGAGCTAGCTTGTGACGGTAATTTTTTGTGTGAGAGATTTGTTTAACAGCACGAATCACCTCATCTGTTGTAGTTCCAACTAAGTCAGCTCTTTCTGGTCAGATTGTGTTAAAATAAAACTCAGATTAAGTCTAACTTGCGTAACAGAGCTTCAGACAGAGTAGTGCTTTCAGTTAGCTTCACACCTCCAGAGAAACTTGATGACGTCAGCTGCACAGTATCAGCTCAGGCTCTTTACCGTACCTGTCTCTGTGCCTCCAGGTCACACTTGTGTCCCACCAGCAGAAAGACGATGCTGTGAGGCTGCACGTGGCTCCGAGCTTCTTCTAACCAGTCGTGAACGTTCTGGAAGGATCTGCGGTTTGTGATGTCGAAGAGAAGGAGACCACCGACGGAGTTACGGTAATAGGCGCGAGTGATGGATCTGCGAGGACACAAGAGAGAGGGGAGGTCAGACCATGGACTGTATGGGCACATCTCAAAAAATCTAGAATATCATGAAAAAGTTTTGTATATACATATTTTTTGTCACTCATGTCTGAAAGTCATAGCTTCATTACACACAGAGAGAAGCTTTCAAGTCTTTATTCCTTGAAATTATGGTTTATAGATAATGAAAAAACAAAATTCAGTGTCTCAGAAAATTTTAACATTACATAGGATCAATAAAAAAGGATATTTTAAACCAGGGGTGTCAAATTCATTTTCACCAAGGGCCACATTTGGATCATGTTTGTCATCAAAGGGCCGGTTGTAATGTTAAAACTGCAACTGTAACTGTAATATTGGTGCGTTACAAAACTTTAAAAGTCTGTATTTCATTTTTCATTTCATATTTATTAATTTTGTTTATTTTTATGTTTTTTACCTTTCTATTATTTACTGGTATTCTTGCTCTTATTTGATTTTACTAGTTTTATTGTCTTAATGAGGACTAGTAGAGTTAAGTAGAGCTTTACTTTATATTTATGTTTTATCTGTATTGTGCAGCACTTGAGAAACTGTTTTGTTTATGAACTGTGCTCTAGAAATAAAGTGAATTGGATTTGATTTAAAGGTTTAAGTTAAAACATTCACATTACTCCTCCAGTAACATTCATGAAATAGCTGTCCTTCTGCGTCAATTTTTCTTTTCTTGAACATTTTTGGGGAAATTTTATGAGTTTTCTGGGCCTCTCTAGTGACGAGATGCAGTCACTTCACGGGAAACAACTGCGGTGCATTGTGGGAGATGTAGTAGCGGCACAGAGTCACAACATAATAATAAATGATACCTTTTAACCCCTTGTGGGACACATAAAATGGCTTGGCGGGCCGGATGTGGTCCACGGGCTGTGATTTAAACAGAAATGCCAGGCTGTCACCTTCTCTCTGTAACTGCTGCTGTGAATCTCGTCATTTTGGTCTTAAACCTTTCATATTAACTCACTCTACATGATCCTGCTGTTTTTATTTTTCTATTTTGCCTGTAAATAAATTCCTAATCCTAATATGGAAGTCCATATTTGCCCCTGTAACTTCAAGCCTCAATGAGCTTCATTTGACTGGAGCTGAACGCTATGGGTGACGTCTCTCTCACTTAGTCCACTTCTTCATACAGTCTATGCGTCAGACTCAGGGCTACAGCGCAAATATATGTATGTATCAAAAAATAAAGGCATTATGTAACTTTTCTGATAGTCTCCGTGGTGATGTTAGTCTGGAATATTCCACAGTATATCATCAAAATTGCAATTTCTTCTTTCTTTTTGTTTCCAGTAATCATAATGCAACAGTTTGATATGACTGTGACTTGTGACAATCTGCTATTTTGGTGATATCACACTGCTGCGGATTTGACAAGCCTGACACAACATGCTCACAAAATACCCACAATCCGAGAAAGAGAGAGAGACAGAGAATGAGATGGGAGGAGTGAGAGAGGAGAGATAGAGCCACTGGATCGGAGAGAGAAAGGAGGGGCGCATAAGGGAGACGAAGGGGGGTAGAGATTGACAGAATTATAATGGAGACTCATTGTGGTGCCAAAACAGAAAATCAAATGGAGTCACAGACAATGAAGCTGACGAGTTACAACTGTCTGGAAAATTAATACCAAATTATAGTGTCATTTTCTTTCATTTTTAGACTGAGCTGTTTACAGGGGGATCCAACACTACTTCTTCTTTCCATGATTATTTACATTGTATATTCGCACAGAAGGTATCAGAACTATGAATGGACACACAAGGTATGAAGTAAACATAAAAAATTAACTTGTTACAGGTTTCAGAGTGTTAAAAATAGCCACCATTTGCAATCTTGACATTTCTTGACCCTGACATGGCACAGCTGTGGACAAGTTGAGGAGACTAAAAAAACATGTTATTGAGTCATTTCAAGATGGATACTTTAAGGCAATGCATTCCGGACTCAGAACATCATTGTGATCTCTTGTATATAATTGTGATATACTGTATTATATTTACTATATTTCTCTTTTTTTGACACCACTCTCTTGCTGTTTTTATTTCTATTTAGTTTAAAGTTATTAGAACAATTTTTACAGTTTTTACGCTTTGTTATTTGAATATAATGTGATATTTGAGCTACTGTGTCCAAGTAATTTCAAATGTGGATCGATAAAGTTTGCCTAAGCCTACATCTAATCTCCATGGAGACAAGCAGATGGCGCACCCTCCACCGCAAAAGTGCACCTTTAACATAACTATCTTGCGAGCCGTTTAAGCAGTCCCTCTGACCTGAAGCGCTCCTGTCCGGCCGTGTCCCAGATCTGTAGCTTGATCCTTTTTCCAGGTTCGATCTCCACGAGACGAGAGAAGAAGTCGACGCCCACCGTGGGGTCGGACACCTGCGCGAATCTCCCCTCCGTGAACCGGCGAATCAGGCAAGACTTCCCGACCGTCGAGTCTCCGATCACGATGAGCCGGAACTGATAAAGCCAGATCGCCTCCATGTCCGGGTGACGGGTCCAGGTGATGTCCAACTATGGTCCAGGTGAGTTCAAGTGAGTCCAGGTGAGATGGTGAATGAGTCTGGAAAAAAAAACAAGCACATTTAAAGGTAAAAGTTGTAATATTTACTGGTTTAAAGAGGGACTATTACACATCTATAGAGTATTAACTCCTAACACATTACATATTTATATCACCATTTTACATTTTATTGTTACCTCCGCCAAGGAGGTTATGTTTTTGCCGGCATTTGTCTGTTTGTTTGTTTGTTTGTTTGTTTGTTTGTCTGTCTGTTAGCAACATAACTCAAAAAGTTATGGACCGATTTTGATGAAATTTTCAGGATTTGTTGGAAATGTGAAAAGGAAGAACTGATTTCATTTTGGGGGTGATCCGGAAGAAATCCTGGATTCTGGATCACTTTGAAATTTTAGTTAACATTGTGGTAAATGGGGCCAAAAATTTTGTTTCTCAATATCTTGGTTAATTATTGACCAAACCCCATGAAATTTGACTCAGGGATGGACAATGGGATCCTCTTTCATATTCCAAATTGAAAGATACGAGACAAATATTTATGGAAAACTTTAATTTTTAAATTAATATGAGGGGGACTGTAGTCCTTGGCGGAGGTCTGCGCTCTCTGAGTGCTTTTCTAGTTTTGAAAATGTTATAGTCAGCAAAAACAATGTTCTCTCTCTTTCAACACTGTCTCCATTCCCCTACTCATCAGGCCTCTCTCCACTCCTCTTGTTTATCTTCTTCTCTATCTCCTCTCCTCTTTCCTCTATTCTTCCCTGTCTGTTTTTCTTTCCCTTTCTCTCCATTTTCATCCCTCCCAATCAATTTCTCCTCTATCTCTACGCTCAATCTCCTTCACCTCTCCCCTCTTTCCTCCCTCCTCCCCCTTGTCTCCTCTCTTCTGTCTTATACTCTCATCTCTCCATCACTCTCTCTCTCTTTCTCCCCCTCCCCATGTGTCCGTGTGGAGTCAGGTTGCATTGCGTGGTCGGTCGGTGCAAACATTAGTTCGATCCCATGTGAATCATATCTCCAGCAGCTCCGCCAAATTTAGGCCACTTTAAGAAATAACAGGTCCCTTTTATTTTCGTGGAATCTTGATGTTATTGCTTTGCCTGGAATGTTCCATGGTATGACTTCAAACATTTTCATCTCGCGTTTATTCATTACTGGTGTTTCTGTTGCTCAAAAATACAGTAATTCCTTCTGTGAACAGGGGCGACTCTTCCACAGATCTGAACTATAATGTAGTGTAATGCTGTGAACTGTGTGTCTCCCTTTGTGATAGACAGGTTTAATCTATACTGTGGAACATTCTAGACAAAGCAAAACCATTTCCAAGGAGAGAAGCAGGTAGCGAGCCCTTCACTCAAAATGTTATGCAGTGCAACTTTAAATATTAGACACACTTTTACTATCACTTGTTGGAAATATGTCTGCTTTGGGACAAATTTAAGTATTAAAGTAATTAAAATTTTATTGATGACTCAACCTATTAACATATTGTCTTGTAATTTAATAGAGTAAGCCAATAAAAAATATTTGAATGACTCCAAATGTAAAATGTGTGTCAGGGGTTAAAGTCCTATATTATGCAAAACTGACTCGTGAGCCTTAAGCCGTGTTATAATGTTGCCTCATCAAAAACAGACCTGGATTTGTGTTTTGTTTCATTCACACGTGTTTTTAGTTTTTAGTAGTTCAGTAAAGATTAACAATTCAAATTAACAGGTTCAAATCTTCCAAATGATCCTAGTGAAGGTGTATGGAGTTTAAAAACACAGTGGAGCACTTCCTGTATTACCACGACATCACAAGGTGGAATCGAGTGAAACAAAACACAACTCCAGGTCTGTTTGTGAAGAGGGAACAAAATTATAGCATAGATCAGAAAATAGGGTAATGTTGACACTTTAATTCTGCATCTGAAAGGCCTATCTAAAATAAAATACTTTGACATATACTTGGCTACTACAAAATCAATACAGTTTGATGATGGCGGTTGCTATGGTAATTAGTTCCCATTTTTACACACAAAATTACACACTTCCCCCCGCACGGGCCTGTAAAATCTTATTCAGGCTTACCTTTTGACTCCTGGTTTCAATTATCATTATTGGTTTTCTAATTACTACCTTTATTGATTTATTGATTATCTATTTTTATTTGTATTCTGTTAAGCATCTTGTGAACCTTTCAGAGGACTGGAAGGTGCTATGTAAATAAACTTTGATTGCTTGTTTTAGATCATTTCATCTAATCTGTCTATTATTATAACGACTGGTTTACTGTTTGATTTTCTAACTTTTTATTGATTAAATAAAAATGTTGTTATGCAAAATGGACTTTTGTGAGCTTTAACCCATGTTATAATGTTGTTTCCTCCTCAAAAACAGACCTGGAGTTGTGTTTTGTTTCATTCACACATGTTTGAGTAACTCTTTATTATTAGTCTGTCTACAACTCCAAACCTCAAAATGCTCTGTTCCACCTTGTGATGTCATGAAACGATAGTTTTCAAGTTAACTACTTTTTACCTTTAGTTCAGTAGAGACTGGCAATTCCGGAGCTGAAAACTTCCAAATGATTCTAGTAAAGGTGTATTAATTTTAAAAACACAGCGAAGCACCTCTTGTATTATGACATCACAAGGTGGGACAGAGTTTTTTTTTCTGTTTGAGAGAACTCAGCCTTAATATGCAGGGTTAACATGTGTGAATGAAACAAAACACAACTCCAGATATGTTTGTGATGAGGGGAAAAAATTATAACAAGATCAGAAAATAGCAAAATAGTAATATGAACCGTTTGAATGAATACATTAAATACACAGAATTTCATCACATTTTTCATGCATAAGATACACATAAGCCATTGCTAATTCGTCAGTGTGAATGCCACTTGTAATACAGCCAGGTTGTAGTCAATATTTCATACGATACGTGGTTAAAATAGCCCTTTGACCTATATGTTATAAACGCTATTTGATTGGACAATGTACAGTACAAAATGTCTCGTAATGTTTAGCTTCATTATTAGCCTCCGTGTCCAAAGCCCACGCGTTTTCCTGTAATCCCCTCCGTACCAGAGCATGCTAAAACCCAGCTACCAAAGTGTAAACGCTGCTATTGTGTCCGAAATGTGAACAGCTCTTACGTGGTTACGCCGTGGTCCTCTTCGTTAGCGCTCGGTGGACACGGGCTCCGTCATGGCACCGTAGTTTTCCAGTAAACCGCTGCACAAACCGACCCCCCCAAACCGTGACAAAGCCGAAAAAGAGAAAGAGGGAGTGGACGAGGGGCGAAAACAACAGGCTGCGCTAGGCCCGGGCAGTCACCGCTGTCGTCCGAAGCAGGTGCAAAACAGCAAAGCGGCGCTACAGCGTAATAAACGAGCCAAAACACGTCTTTACGCGGAAAACGGAGCGGTGCGCGGTGCTTGTGGACACGGGCTGGTCGGTGTAAAGGGGGGATCCCGTGAAGTCATGCCGGAGATCGCGCACTGTTTGCGGCTTCGGCTGCTGCAGATGAAATGGCAGCGGGAGCATCATTAGCCTGACTCATCCCACATCAGTACCACTACCGTAACGCACCGTGAAGAGGCGCACACACTCAGAGGGGAAAGGACGGTTTTATCTGTCTAGGAATTTCATATTTGTCGCCATAAAACAAGGTATAATAATCACAGTAATACCGAAGTCAAACTATAGCCTAATAATTTTAATAATGTTTTGAATGCTCGTTGCTTGTGGCAGCCTAAATAAAGTAGGCCATTGAGACTTGCTTCCTTTTTTCTCGTTGCTTTTATAATGTTTGTTTAAATTTTTGTACTGCTTTGGAAATCACACTATAACACAGATCGTTTATAAAAGGTGAACGTAGTAATTTTTAAATCTGTAATGGATTTTATGAAAAGTTGGTGCGCATATACCGTGCGCTTTTGTCGTTCTGAGGCCACTGCGCTGCGCACGCTCGGACACGGAAATGGGATTTGTAGTTTTAATATATTCCGGGGTTTAATCATAGATTTATATTTATATTTATAAGTTTAATGGACCAATGCACTTTCTTTATGTTTAAGCTCACTTAAATGTGCACTGTGCTGCTTTTGTTAAGGGCTCGCCATCTCGAAATGTTCCACTGTATAGCATTACACTTGTATCTCCAAAGAGACAAGAGGGACACGCCGCCACACCAAGTTACAGATCAGATCTGCGGAGAGGTGACCCCTTTCACAATAAAACTGTAAAAATAAAATCACCAGTAATGGACTAAATAGATGTGAGACACTGTAGAACGGAACATTAACATCTCCATGGTGATGAACCCCACACCATCACCAGAAAAGTTACATACTGCACCTTTCAATATTTTAAACTAGCAGTCATACTCATTTTGGTTTTATTATCGTTTTATTGTTCCACGGAGTATATTTATACATCTAATTTGGTTATGGCTTTGCGTAGATAAACTATTCTAGGCTCTACAGTGTGATGGTGTCATATTCCCACATGGGGGAAAGAGTTTTTTTGTTTTTTTTGTAATTGATAACATTGTACTTTTATATGAAATAGCCAAAAGGTAAAAGCACAAATGTTTAACTTAATCATTTCTATCAGTGACTAGACCCAAGAACTCACTGTATTACAACAGAAATCTGCATTTTAACAATATTTGTTTTAGCTGCTCCCGTCTGTATTAAATATTCTTGGCCTATAGAATGTTGTGATGCTTCTGAAACAGCAAAAGGAAACCTGGTCTTTAGTGACAAGTCTGTGTAACTCATAATACAGGCAAAACATCAAGTCTACATTTTAATATATAACTCCAACTCAGGTTGTTTTAAAGGAGAGGGATCAATAGTGGTTGTTCAAATCATTAGTCCATCTGCCCCACAGCAGCTGCTCCTTAGAATCAGGTCTAGTTTTAATCAATGAGAACATTTTTACGTTATTGTTAAAGGACAAATTTTACACTGTTTTCCGACCTGTTTTAATGTTGTTTTCTCATCACAAACAGACCTGGAGTTGCATTTGGTTCATTCACACATGTTTAACACACAAACTCTGCATATTTAGGCTGAGTTCTTTTCTCTTAACTTGAAAATTACCACTTCATGACATCACAAAATGGAACAAAACATTTTGAGCTTTGGAGATGTAAATAGACTAATAATAAAGAGTTACTCAAACATGTGTGAATGAAACAAAACACAACTCCAGGTCTGTTTTTGAGAAGGAAACAACATTATAACATGACTAAAAAGCTGTGTGTAATATAGGACTTTAGGTTTTAATAGTTGACACTACATAACTTTTCTGTAACATAGATTTAAAGTGTTTTAGACTCTTTTTGCAAAGGCTAAAATTGATGTTGTATCTTACTGAACAATGCACCCACATGGCAAAACTATAAAAAAGCAGCTGCTATGACACTCAATTTGCTCATGGGTGGATTTTAGTAAAGAAATTATTTTTGTTTCATTCACACATGTTTCAGTAACTCTTTATTATCAATCTGTTTCCATCTCCAAAGCTCAAATTGATCTGTTCCACCTTGTGATGTCATGAAGCGATAGATAGTGACAGCTACCTTTTATCTTTAATCTATCTCAGTAAAAATGGGCAATTGCAGGGCCAAAGTTATCCATACAATTCTAGTGAAGGTGTATAGAGTTTAAAAACACAGTGGAGCACTTCCTGTATCACCACATGGCATCACAAAGCGGAACAAAGTGTTTTCTGTTTGAGAGAAGAACTCAGCCTAAATATCCATGGTTTGTGTGAATGAAACAAAGCTCTAGCACAAAATGGCTTTTCTTTTATATTTGATTGTGTTTTAATTTCCAGCATGATTCATTTTTACATCATTTACTTTGAAAGGACTGTTATTAAATGTTATGAGATTGGAGCGTTAGTTTTGCCCAATCACCTCTGTGTCCATAGCTCCATGATGTAAACAGTCTTACCGTGTTCTGGGTAACCTACAAATTATAGTTAAATATTAAATGCCACAAACCCATGTCCACACATCTTTTTTTTCCCCTATTTATTTATAATTTCAGTCTAATTTTAGTCCCACAGAAGCCGCCCTGTCCTGAAGGGGGCGTGGTTCTTTATTGTCCAAAACCGCTGACGGGAGTTTCATCCAAGTTTGGCACTTAGTTTTACGCACTGACATCTTCAACTACTTATCGCGTTTTGTGCCGTGTCAGGGTGCACAGAAGAGAGGATGCAACCAAACCACAAACTGACGAGATAACAGGCTAAGAAGTGTTTTTTTTTTTCTTTTGCCACGACAGCATTTGACACGATGAGTTCTCCTTTCTTCTACTGTTTAACTTCCTATGATGCAACGACCCCATAACAACACATAACCTATCGTACTTGGAATATCTTTGAAAATACGCATGGGATTATCGTTTTGTAATTAAAACACACGTACAGTTTTATTTGTAGTAGCAGGCGCACCGTTTGGCACAGCTCCAGTTTCGCATCACCTCACCGCGCGTCCGGGAGCTCTGAAGCCGGGCGGAGATGCAGCAGGAGCGGCTTCTCAAAGTGCTGGTGATCGGGGATCTGGGAGTGGGGAAGACGTCCATCATAAAGCGCTACGTGCACCAGGTTTTCTCGCAGCATTATCGCGCGACCATCGGCGTGGACTTCGCTCTCAAAGTGCTGAATTGGGATCATAAGACCGTGATTAGGCTCCAGCTCTGGGACATTGCTGGTGAGTTTAGGAAAAAATAACGAAAATAGGTTAAATAGGGTGACCAGATGTACCTATTTACCTGGGACAGTCTCAGTTTTGAGCCCTGTGTCCCCTCTATCCCAGCAGATTTATCCAAAACCAGTGTTTTGTCAGTTTTATACATGAAATGCCCCGCGTATGTCCCTATTTTTGACAAATTTGATCCGTGCCAACAGTAAAGAGAGGCATAAACTGTCATTTTTTTAATGTAAAATACAGAAAAGCTGCTTAAACATGACGAAAACACAAAGAAAATATGACTATACTGACTCACATCAATGCCAAGTGCATAAAATCTTTCCTTAATTACGCACTCGTTTCTCAATTGTATTAATACAAACCACCACAAACCAGAAATGTCCCAATTTTTATTGAAAATCTGGTCACCCTAGGGTTAAACCTTATATAATTTATTGCAATAATTCAAGATCCATATGCAGTAATAATCGGTGAGTAGTATTACATCTACTTGAGAAATCTCTTAAAGAAATTGTACTTTATAGCAGCATACTTTTACTGGGGTAACAGTAATCTTACTCGGGTAAAACTTGCCATTGTAGCTCATGGATATACATCTTCATTGTGATAAGCTGGTAGTGCACCCTCCACCAAAAAAAAAAAAAAAAAAAAAAAAAAAAAAGCAGCAGTGCACCTTTAATCTTTTGAAAGGCAATTTGCACTACAGTCATGCCTCTTCATTTAGAAATAATCCTTTGCCTTTCCCACATTTTTTAGTCTCTTGCAGTAATTAAATGAGACCAACTGAGTATGCACACATTATATTCTTTCTGTCATTGAGCAAGGCACTTCTGCTGTTTTAAATGTGTGTTATGGGAGTCAAAGGGGTAGATGGTGCACATTGGCAGCCACGTGTCCATCAGTCTGTCCTGTGGCTTCAGAAGTGTTGTGAATGAATACAGAAGCGGTTTCATACGACTTTCGGGGTATTTCTATCATGTTATAATGTTTCCTCGTCAAAAATGTGCTCAGAAATGTTTTAGTCATCACCTGTGCATGTATGAATAATTTAGCGATCTCTCCCAGGCACTATTTGAACCCTTATGGTTAAGCGTATGAGCCTGTACAAAGCTTTGCCCACAAGCTTACGTCATAATGCATCCAAATTTTCCATAAATATAGACATATGATACAAAACAATACACTACAACTTCACAAACCTGATGTGATGTGCAGTAGTGTCAGTACTAAACTTTGAGATGTGTTATTTTTGGCAAATACTGCATTTTCAAAACTATAAAAGGTAAAATGGTGACCTAAATATAATATGAGCTGCCAATCCATAGAAGTGTGATACCTCCTTCTTTAATCTTCATTTGTCTTGAGTATTAAAGGTGCACTGTGTAACTTTTTGGTTGGGGGCCTGACACAAACTTGTTTCCATGGAGATTTTATTGCTTTGTCTGAAAGGTTTTACCGTATGGCAGTAAACTCATCTATGTTGCATTTATTCAATTACAGGTGTTTTACTGCTCAAACATACTACGAAAAATATGCATTCCTACAGTGGGTGAGCTCGTCTCTCCGCAGATCTGGCCTGGAAGCATTGTGGGCTTGTCTTCATGGAAATACATAAGTTTGACTCCATACTGTGGGGCATTCTAGACAAAGCAATAGCATTTCCACGAGGACAAGCAAGTGGTGGACCCTCTACTAGAACGTTACGCAATGCACTTTTAAGAAAAAAACATGACTTCACTGCGAAAGTAAAACACAACAGAAGCGGAAACATAAAACCACCTAGTTGAGATAGTGCACATCTTTATCAAAAAGTCAACATTGTGAAGTCAGCTAAACAAACATGACTCGGGTTTATGTTTTTCACGTTTTATGTTTTACGTTTTTATAAATTGTTTCAGTAAAATACAGAAAACCTGATTAAAAATGATCAAAACACAAAGAAAATGTGACTTTAGTGACACGTGTTAGTTATGAATGGGCCTAGTGCAGAACTGTTTTCCTTCATTATGCACTTTTTTTTTTTTTACACAATTTTATTATTACCAGCCACCACGAACTGAGGGTGTCCTAGTTTTTATGTTGAAATGCTGGTCACCCTTTCAAAAACAGACCTGGAGTAGTGTTTTGTTTCATTCATACATGTTTGAGTAACCCTTTATTATTAGTCTGTCTACATCTCCAAAGCTCAAAATGCTCTGTTCCACTTTGTGATGTCATGAAGCTGTAGTTTTCAAGTTAACAAGTTACCTTTTGTTAAGTAGAGGTTGGCAAATCCAGCGGTGGACAAAGCAATAACATTTCCATGAGGACAAGCAAGTGGCGGATCTTCCACGAGAAAGTTACACAGTGCACCTTTAAGAAAAAAACGTCACTTCACTGCTTAAGTAAAATACAACAGAAGTGGAAACATAAAACCACCCAGTCAAGATAGTGCACATCATTAATGAAAAGTCAACATTGTAAAGTCAGCTAAACAAACATGACTCGTGTTTACATTTTTCAAACTGTAGTGTGTGTGTGCTTTGCCTGTGTGCCTTTAAGCAACTCCTCCTCCTGATAACAGCAGCATTTACATAAGGACGGGACCGTGCAGTGTTCAGTGGAGTGAGTACACAATGCACGCACTGAAAAGAGGATGGTGTAATTAACTCCAATCGTGATAATTCCGGAGATAGTGAGTGAGTTATGTGTTTAAATGGAGACACAGCAGCTCAGGAGGTCAGGGGGAAGTGGTTAGGCCAAGAGTTATACAATGTACTGTAATGGCTCTGGTATTGGCTCATTTACTGCAGACAAGGACTCCTCTCTAGAACTACACCGAGCCAGACTATGTTAACAAAACCAAGATTCAACAGAACTAAACCAGGACCAAACCAGGACTGAACCTGAACTAAACCAAGCATAAACTAAGGTTAAACCAGGACTAAACCAGGACCAAACCAGAACTGAACCTGAACTAAACCAAGCATAAACAATGGTTAAACCAGGACCAAACCAGAACTGAACCTGAACTAAGCCAAGCATAAACTAAGGTTAAACCAGGACTAAACCAGGACCAAACCAGAACTGAACCTGAACTAAACCAAGCATAAACTAAGGTTAAACCAGGACTAAACCAGGACCAAACCAGGACTGAACCTGAACTAAACCAAGCATAAACAATGGTTAAACTAGGACTAAACCAGGACCAAACCAGGACTGAACCTGAACTAAGCCAAGCATAAACTAAGGTTAAACCAGGACTAAACCAGGACCAAACCAGGACTGAACCTGAACTAAGCCAAGCATAAACTAAGGTTAAACCAGGACTAAACCAGGACCAAACCAGGACTGAACCTGAACTAAACCAAGCATAAACAATGGTTAAACCAGGACTAAACCAGGACCAAACCAGGACTGAACCTGAACTAAACCAAGCATAAACTAAGGTTAAACCAGGACTAAACCAGGACCAAACCAGAACTGAACCTGAACTAAACCAAGCATAAACTAAGGTTAAACCAGGACTAAACCAGGACCAAACCAGGACTGAACCTGAACTAAACCAAGCATAAACTAAGGTTAAACCAGGACTAAACCAGGACCAAACCAGAACTGAACCTGAACTAAACCAAGCATAAACTAAGGTTAAACCAGGACTAAACCAGGACCAAACCAGAACTGAACCTGAACTAAACCAAGCATAAACAATGGTTAAACCAGGACTAAACCAGGACCAAACCAGGACTGAACCTGAAACTAAGCCAAGCATAAACAATGGTTAAACCAGGACTAAACCAGGACCAAACCAGGACTGAACCTGAACTAAACCAAGCATAAACAATGGTTAAACCAGGACTAAACCAGGACCAAACCAGGACTGAACCTGAACTAAACCAAGCATAAACAATGGTTAAACCAGGACTAAACCAGGACTAAACCAGAACTGAACCTGAACTAAACCAAGCATAAACTAAGGTTAAACCAGGACTAAACCAGGACCAAACCAGAACTGAACCTGAACTAAACCAAGCATAAACTAAGGTTAAACCAGGACTAAACCAGGACCAAACCAGGACTGAACCTGAACTAAACCAAGCATAAACTAAGGTTGAACCAGGACTAAACCAGGACCAAACCAGAACTGAACCTGAACTAAACCAAGCATAAACAATGGTTAAACCAGGACTAAACCAGGACCAAACCAGGACTGAACCTGAACTAAACCAAGCATAAACTAAGGTTAAACCAGGACTAAACCAGGACCAAACCAGAACTGAACCTGAACTAAACCAAGCATAAACAATGGTTAAACCAGGACCAAACCAGAACTGAACCTGAACTAAGCCAAGCATAAACTAAGGTTAAACCAGGACTAAACCAGGACCAAACCAGAACTGAACCTGAACTAAACCAAGCATAAACTAAGGTTAACCAGGACTAAACCAGGACCAAACCAGAACTGAACCTGAACTAAACCAAGCATAAACTAAGGTTAAACCAGGACTAAACCAGGACCAAACCAGGACTGAACCTGAACTAAGCCAAGCATAAACTAAGGTTAAACCAGGACTAAACCAGGACCAAACCAGGACTGAACCTGAACTAAACCAAGCATAAACAATGGTTAAACCAGGACTAAACCAGGACCAAACCAGGACTGAACCTGAACTAAACCAAGCATAAACTAAGGTTAAACCAGGACTAAACCAGGACCAAACCAGAACTGAACCTGAACTAAACCAAGCATAAACTAAGGTTAAACCAGGACTAAACCAGGACCAAACCAGGACTGAACCTGAACTAAACCAAGCATAAACTAAGGTTGAACCAGGACTAAACCAGGACCAAACCAGAACTGAACCTGAACTAAACCAAGCATAAACTAAGGTTAAACCAGGACTAAACCAGGACCAAACCAGAACTGAACCTGAACTAAACCAAGCATAAACAATGGTTAAACCAGGACTAAACCAGGACCAAACCAGGACTGAACCTGAACTAAGCCAAGCATAAACAAT